CGTACGTCAGCGTGCCTGAAGGAGGGGTGTGTATGGAAAGATGAGACCAGCATCATGACTGTGTTTCACCAGCAGCAAAATAATCCACCTGACTCCAGCCAAGCACACAACTGAAGTGTGTTTCTTTTTTTTTGTTCCTTTTTTCCTTCCCTCCCTGCCCTTCTGGCCCTCCACAAAAAAAAAACCCAAATCACCCAGGATACCAGGGCACCTAGACCACGGAATGCAAAGTAAGACGCAGAACTAGGTCATATATTCTCAGTCTCTTTGTGTCTCGCTCTCTCTGCCTACCTCACTTTTCTTCACCTTCCCAGTCTGTGCCCAAAATTGGGAGATTTTTTTTATTCCCACCTGTTTCCATGACACTCTGATCTTTCCAAATTCAGAACTGCCTCCGGCCTTGAATGTTGCCCTCCTTCTCTGCACTTTTTAACACTGAAACATTCTCAATGACGACACGGTGTCCTTCTTTACACTGACACCTTCAGCAGACATTTAAACAGAAAAAAACAAACATGCACCAGGGGGAGAAAAGTATTTTTACCAGGGGCATTTTGGAAGCGTGATGAATGTTGCTAGCTAACTTTAAGTGATCTTAGCCAACTTTTTTATGCTAACTTTGGGAATATGTATTTAACCTTTAATATATATTTTGCCTCACTGTATTATACTTGACCTCATTTCTCTTTTTATCCCTTTTTTTGTGCTAATCTTAGTCATATCTGGGCTAACGTTTAGCCATTTTTAGCTAATATATGATTATAACTTGGCTATGTTTTAGCTATAGAAGCAAAATCCTAGCTATTCTATGTGCAAACGTACAGTTTTTTGCCTAATCTTTACAAGTTCTACCTTTTTTGACAACTGTTTCACAATGTAAAACATTAGATTTATCGTTACATTTTGTTATTATTTGGTCAGTTTTTGGCTCTATTAGCAATTTGGGAGTTAGCGTTAGCCCTTTGTGCTTCATAATTGTGGTTTAGATTTGACACCCATCAAGACAGCACTAGTGTGTGAATATTTCTGCAGCTCTGGCAGCCATGAGGCACGGACCTTAAGTTTTGCGTCACTAAATTATGGATCTCCTGGTCTATTTGGATGGAGAAGAGTCAGCTTTTCACAGCCCTGCAAATCTGGCACTGCTGAAGTGGCAGGTTGATGGAAGAGCCTGAATCCTCATTTGGCCCGAGGCTTCTTTCTACTCTCATTTAGTGCAACTCTGCAGCACAGAGTGTTAAGAGCCTTCGTATTATTCTCTCATGTTTAAATAACGGATTATCAAGTTTAATTCCGATGAAGTCAAATTGAACATTTTCAGAACTAATACTGAAGAACATTCCGTTCAGTTCTTTGTTGATGATATTTAATTTCTTGGCTGCGATTGCTTTTTTTTCTGCACATTTGAATGGGTGTCCAATGACTACATAGTATGTTTCATATGTGCAGGCACAGAGGCATTGATCACTGGCCAGCACTACAGCAAGAATAATAATTCCTCTTATTATTATCCTTGCCCTGTATCAAAAATCATGTTTATATTGGTTAAATATTATGTTTGACTGAGTATAAACATAGTCTTCAGTCTTACTACACAAATATGTGTGGGACAAGGAAGCAAAAAAAAGAGAAAAGGACAAAGACATTTCCCATAGAAACGGTGAAGCGGTGAAACATTATTTTCTTTCCTCTGGATTAAAAATTCATGGATGTGAGATGTGTTTAATTTGGACTCCAACAGCCTGTGAGGGAAATGTGTGTTAGGTTGTTGTGCTGTATTTTGCTCCTTGGCTGCTCAGCACAGCGGCCTGGCCCACTCTCCTCCAGATACTGTGATAATTATAGCGTGCACTGCGTCAAAACCCTCATTTACAAATTAATTTCTGTCAACAGGTGAAGTTCTGGGTTGCGCCGCTTAAATCATCTGTGAAAAAAATCAAATGTTTAAAGGAGCGGTTGTGTGCAGTATCTCTGCTCCTTTCTCTACCAAAGGGACCAAAATCAATGTGGTACAACTGGACTCCCGGGGCACGGTAACTGCCGATGTGTGTGTTTAGCTGTTACAGCAGTTTCCACAGCGACTCCTTATGTACTCTAACAGACTGAAAAGTGGCTCAGATGTTTGAAAAAAAAAAAAAAACCTCTGGACAATAATATCTGACCCATACAGACACCAGAGAGAAGCATTCAATTCAATTGGTCTGGACTTAATAACACATGAAATCCTGTAATGACAAAACGGTTGGTCATCATCCTTTTTTGCACCGTTTACTGCATGGATGTCAGACCCATTTTCACCGGGGTCAGAGCAGCAATACGATTGTAACCGGTCGTAACTGGATGACTGTAGATGTAACTAAATGTGTATACAATCGATTAGTATTTATTCAAGTTACAGATATTGTACATTGCTCTGAGCAAAAACCTTTAATTTACCACACATTTGAATCAAATTTTCAAAACTTTCAAGTTAAGTTAAGTTCAAAATAATGTCCTTGTCGATCTCTGCTCATAGATCTCTCATCATCATGAAATGCACTATTAAAGTTTGTAATTTATGGTCAAGGTTTACTTTCTAAGGCAGCACTGACTTTAATGTAAGGCAATAAAACACTTTTTAAGCTCTCACAGGCCATACAAAATGACTTGGCGGGCCACACTTGCCCCGCGGGCCTCGAGTTTGCTGCCCTGCAGCACTTGACTCATTTCTTCCTGATAATTGAACCGCAACCTGGATTTGTTTGTAAACTAACTCAGATCTACGGTACGTTTTCAGGTGTTATTTTCAGGTGTACGTTTTATACCTGTCCAAAAAGAGACGACTATTGTAGGACATCGAAGGACCAAACAGCTGTGGTGTCAAAGTGCTCTTAGTCCCAGTGATCAACATGAGTCAAAAGCCCCTGGTGAAGTACACATTCTGTGGCCCATAAACACTGACTTAGTTCCTTCATACAGTACTGTACCTTTGAGGAGACATGTTGTGACTGACAGTACGAGTCCGACTGTGATGACATCATCTCGCATGTCTTCCTCTGCTGACCTTACATGTCAGGACCTTCAGTAGTTTTGCTTGAATCAGCTCTGCAGAACATGTCAAATGAAGAACATGTCAGCTACTGTGTGTGTGTGTGTGTGAGTGCCACACACACACACACTGTTGCTGCGTTTTATATGAATGATTAAAATGTGTGCCAGCTCTGAATGTTGCATGAGGACTAACCTGATGACAATCGCTGGTGTTTACCAGCATCACTGCGCAGCAGCGTTAGGATTGGTCGATCCTGGGCCACATGGCTGCCTGTGATGGAGGATTACATCAGCGTGGCCTCTCTCACAGCTACAGCAGAGAGAGGGCAGAGGCAGGACAGTCCAGGCATGTCCTCCAGGCCGCCGCGGTGTCTTTTCATCACTGGATTCGTCGTGTCTTGTTGTTTGTTAAGAGCTTGTGATGATGCTGTACGGGGTGACAGGTTATAATCTGCAAAAATGAACAAAATGACACCTTTAGTAGTTCATCTGTTTCATATCTACATTTACATTTACGCAGCTAGCAGACACTTTTATCCAAAGCGACTCACAAGAGGAGGATTAACAATCAAGCATGTGGCTCCTCTGGGAATCAAACCCTCTGCTCTCTGCTTCCAAGTCAGGCATTCTAACCGCTACACTATGGAACCACAAAAAAAAAAAAAAAAAGAGAGACCAAAGCCAACATGGGAACGACCTCAATAATATATATATATACCCTGTCTCTAAGACATCAACCTGTTTCAGGATAGTCAGGCCCACAAATGTGCGGCTGCACGGCCCACCAAGTGGCCCTCCCCTGTTACATCAACAGTCTCCCTTTGTGTGTTCGCAGGATGGAGAGCAGGCAGGCAGGCAGTCTGTCAGTGTGTCGCTGGCAGTCTGCTGAAGCCTCCATTGTGCAGTCTGGGAGTGTGCATTGTGTGTGTGTAAAGAAAAACAGAGCAGGCCTGATATTAGGCTCCACCTGGATGCATGAATATTAAGCGTCCTTGCAGAGCGATATATTCCCAGAGGATTGGCCTGCAGGCAGCAACAACAGCCTGGCCCTTCAGGAGGAGAGGCAGGAAATGTTGCATTTGTACATTTTAATTTTACCACTGTAACACATCGTGTAGTTTTTTAGGGGTAAAATTTGACTAAATATAATATGAGACGTCATTTAACAGGATATGCACATATGTATGTAACATACAGTTTAAAAACTCACCAGGAGGGGGCGGAGGTGAAAATGAGTCCCTTTCAAATTTTCATTCAGTTTCGGGAAAAAAAAAATTCTGCCGTAGCTAGATAACTTTTGGTTCTAACATCTGTCTTAGAACATTTTGACTGACCCTTGTATGTTGGCTTGACATACTCAAATATTTGTTAAAGTTATGGGTAATAAAACGTCTCATCAACAAAAAAAAGATTTTATGACCCCTCCGCAGTAACTCCGAAGTCACTCCGGTGGTCACGCACCCCCTCTGTTGGAAAACTCTACGATGCAGGATTTTTTTCAGAAGAAAATCTTCATTTCTCTGTAAAAATCACAAGCCCAATTATGATCTTAAAAACCTGGTGCCGTCCTCGAGGTTCTGCTCCGTTCTCCTCTAGAAGGCCACAGCTTCACACCTATAAAAAGCCTTGGCCTGAAGCGCTCGTAAAGCAAACAGAGTGTGCACCTTGTTGATGACATTTATACACTTCAGTGGCCTCGTAAATGACTCTCACCTCAGATAGCGCCACTCGTTCTGAGGTTGGGGGGGGGGGAGAGGGAGGGAGAGAGAGAGAGGGGAGAAAAACACAAAGTGCTGAGTCATGCTTTGATCAATTAGAGGTAATTGAAGGTTTTTGTAGCTGGTGGCCCACAATGCACCAACACCAGCTGGGATTTAATCAGATAAGAGCAGTGTTCAGACCCAGATCTGTGCAGGTTTGTGGGCTCAGCGTCGTACGAATTTTAGGAATTTTAACTGCAGCGTTGCAGGTCCGACTGTGGAAGGACAGACCTGGGAACAGACATGAAGGTTTAAACATTTCACAGTTCCGTCTCCACTCCGTTCTGTCAGTCTGACGTCCCTAAAGAGAGCGTTCTCAGGCAGACAGATATTATAGCTGTTGTATTTATGAGACACTCTCTCTCTCCCTCTCTCACTCCCCCCCTTTTGTCCTTGTGGCTTTTCTCTCATTTCATCGCGCTCTCGTCTTCTCCACGGGTCGCCCCTCTTCCTCTCTGCTATCATCAGCCGAGTTGCTCTGCTGCTCGCGGCCTCACTGCAGGGTTTTTGGAGATAATGATCTCCCCTCTTCTTCTTCTTCTTCCTCCTCCTCCTTCTCTTCGCCTCCCCTAATTCTTTGCTTCCACCCAGGCTTCTGTCTTTTCTATTTCCCTCAAACACATTTCCCAACACTGTGTGTTCGTGAGATGCCATGTTGATGGATTGTGTGTTTGTTTTGTTTTTTTCATACATGTTTCTGTTGCGTGTATGAGGCTCTTCAGTCCTGTGGTTAGTGTTAATGAAGGTTATCTTTTGACTCGTTGGGTTAGAGTGGCATCCCACCTGGCAGGGTCGTCTCTCATCTCTCTCATCTTTTAGTTTAAGAGAAGCTTGTTTTAGATCCTTTTCTGGGTGACTGGGGACGGGGGCGTGTTGAGGGTTGAAGCGTTCTGGACCCAGGACACGGTTCTCCATCAACAGATCATTTTGTCCGAAGAAGGTCAGACGTAGGCGACTGGACTGGCTAGGTGTTTTGAAGACATTTCACGTTACGTCAAGGGGACGTAGAAGTGATGGTCTCTTGGTCTCATTCACACTAACATTCACACCTAATGTCAATTTAGAGTGAACTATTAATGTTGGAGTACCTGGAGAAAACCTACACACATGAACTCGGTCACTTATTTAAATAAAAACACTGTTGATTTTAATTTAAAAGTCTGAAACCACACACACGTCGAAAAGCAGATTCCTGTTGCGTCGGATTCCGGGCTCATACATTTATATTTGATTTTGAAAATTCTATTTACTTTCCAACATTGCCTGTAATTTTATTTCCACGTCCTGGACCATAGAATTGCATTAGGAGCGGCGTGAGCGCAGCAGCCCTGCTATCTGATTCACACATTTGAATGAAGTGAACGGTGGTTCCTTCAGAAAGAGTGGGTTTCAGTGAACAGTAATATGATCCAGTTAAGGTGGGTTTTTTAAATTATTATTTAAGTCCAGTGTTTATTTCTGGGTCACTTTATATATTTTGGAGATACAGATTTTGATTGTTTCTTTGTTTAATTATCCAAATTTCACTGTTAGCATTTACTGATGCCTTGGCTAACTTTCAGTTACTTAACAGCTAACATTTACCTATTCTCTGTATTGTGGATTATATTATTTCTTACCATATGTTTGGTTTGTGTGGTCTTTTAATTTAGTTGAATGATTTTTTTTTAATTTTCCTGAATTTTTTTTCTGCAACCTTTTGCAATTTTTGGTTTCATTTTTAGAATTTCCTTTGTTCAGCTAATGTTGTCTTAATAATCATTACTTCACGCCTTATATTTGATTGATTTTAAATGAGTTATTTAGATGTTTTTAGACTTTTTTGGTTCTTCTTGTTCTAAAATTTTCTTATTTTCTCAATATTTTTGTCTAATTTTTATTTATGTCTTCAGTTGTAAATCGTATAATAATAATTATATGCTAACCTTTAGCTGACATTTCTGACACACTTGCTTTTTAATGCTTTTTAATTAGTTCCCTAACATCTAACCTTCTAACAATCCACATCAAATTTCTTGAGACTCCCGTTTAAGGCTGTTAAGCGTTGTGGG